CGAGGTGAAATTCACAGTAAAATTTTAAAACATAGCATTAGTATATTAAAATCAAAATATTGGCCTTCTTTTCTTCATGTGAATTTCTATTCTGTTTTAACACATACTGATTTACTGAAATGCAGTTAAATCTGGTTTAAAACTCTACCACATAGCCTACATAGACTAATGTCTGAGCAGAATAAAAAATCAGATTGTTGAGAAGTGCCTAGAAGTCAGACCATACTAAGCTTACCTAACCTTATTCTTTATTAACAGATTTTTCAGAGTACACTGAAATTGCCTCATACATTAGTTCTATAAATAATTTTATATCATCACACAAAAATTGAAATGTGTTTGAACAATCCTGTAAAATGAGCTTTCAACTTATAAAAAACTTAAATTAATTGTTTAATATCAATTTGTGATAGGTGAATGAATTTAAAAGCACGTTAGATCCACCACACTAGCCTGCCCCTCTACGATTTGGAATATAAAAAGACATCCTAACAGAACTGCTGAAATACTATTGAGATATTAAGTTAGAGGAAGCATGCTGCTATCAGTGGAGTATGATGAAATAAATGAAGTGAGAATCAATAAAAGCAAACGTGAAATACAACATGACAGTTATAACATGATCAGCTTGAAGCACCTAATTCGGACTTTGAGAATTAAAGGCATAATCCTGAAGTACTTCACTGTTTTAAGCCATAGAAAGAGCCAGGTAATTGTCATTGAGTGAGATTCATTACTCAGGAATGGTTTTGATTTTACATGTACAACAATAATATTGTTCCCTTCTTAAAAGCAAAACCTGAATCATTTTACTATTCATTAGATGGGAAAAGAAGGCTTGGATAGAGTTTCAAGGGTTGGGTTGTTTGGGATTTTTTAATAAAATCTAGCCCTTTAAGACAAAAAGTTACACACATCATTAGGATAAAACAAATTTATTAATTTCCCCAAACATTGAAAATTGTATGGCATGGCTTTAACCTCCTATCCTTATTTATACAATATGAAAATCATTACCAAACCAAATATAAATTATTTAAACACTGAAAATTTAAAGGCACTAAGCCTATGTATTTTTATCTATTTTATTTCACATTTTTTATTTTTCACACTTTTTTCAAAATGTGAAAAGGAAGTCATTTTTTATAAACAGTCATTCACATCATCCTTTGTAAACCATTCACTCAGCTGAAATCTGACTCAAGCGGACAAATAACCCTGAGATACCTTGTCCTTCCATATTTCATTTCCGTACCAGTGAAGAAACATTTCCTAAAATGTACTCTTCTCCTATTACTTGCGTCAGCCACGCA